GGGGCCATCGCATTGGGGCGCAGCGGGGATGGGGCAGCGATAAACCCTAATGCTGACCGACAGCTCTGCAGGGGCCACCCCAGAGACAGGACACTGGTGGGAGGAGCTGGAAACCCACCCTCAGGGCGGGTGCGCACGTCCCAGAGACCTGGACGGCCGGCCCGCGGGTCCTCGTGCCATCATCACGGGGCTCCCCGTGGATCCTCCAGCCCCGGCCGGAGAAGACCCCAAAGTGCCGGTGCCGAGTTGGGTGCTTGCTTTGGGTCGTGGCCTCGCCGGAGCCCGGGGTCTCTGGTCACCACTCTGGTCCCCAGCCTGCAGGTCCTCTCTGCCCAGAGAAGTCTGGACATTGGGGGCGCAGTGTGGGGGTGCTGAGGAGCGCCATCGGACACCCCAGCCCCTAAAAACGGGCGCGTCTCTGCAGCTGGGCATCGCCGCCCCGTGGGGGCCGGGAGCTGGGACACGTCGGGGCACCATCAGGACACCTGCGGGCTTGGAGCTTCCGCAGACAATCCGCTGGCCACAGTGAGGTGGGGATCCTGGGCCATGCGGCTCAGTCCCATGGGGACCCCGAGGCCCCGGCTTCCTGCCCCTGGCCTCAGAGACGAGCTGCTGCAGCCACAGGGGCCCGAGTGTCCAGGCGCCGTGACAGCGGGCAGCTGAGCCCCGGGAAGTCGGGTCCGGCGGCCTGTGCCTGTTCGCCCTCATTGACAGCTTACACCCTGACGCTGACAGTGAGCAAATGCTGACAGTGACCTTGATCCTTCCACGCCCAGCCTCCCGGAGTCTCCCCTGGGTTTGCATGAGCGGGGCTGGCGTGAAAGGCAGTGACCGGCTTCACCCCGGGGACTGGAGTTCTCTTTTTTAATATGTTTTCGTTTTTAGTGATTTCAGAGAGGAAGGAAGGAGGAGAGAGAGAGACCATGATGAGGGAGACTCACTGCTGGGCTGCCTGCTGCACGGCCCCTCGTGGAGACCTGTGCCCTGCCGGGGACATGAACCCAGATCTCCTGGGTCATAGGTCGCTGCTGGACCACTGAGCCACACCAGCCCGGTGGGGACTGGGGTTTCCCTTCTGCCCTAACGTCGGTCGAAGGTGGGGAAGTGCACTTAGTCCCGCGCCGAGTCTGCTTCGTCCTGCTTCCTCTCCTCTTGTACCCGTGCCACCTGTCCCTTCACAACCGTGTTTCGGGTCAAATGCACAAGCGTGCCCTCCCCCCTCCTGGGGGCAGGGAGCTCTGGCCCCTGCGGTGTTTGTCGTCTGTGCCAGGTGTGCCAGCCCACTGTCTGCCCCACCAGCGCCCATGTCTGCGTCCATATCTGTCCCCCACCACGTCCCCTCACGCGCTCCGACATGATCACCCTGCGTGTGGTAGCCATTTGTTCCCAGAGAATCAGCAGGTCCTGTTCAGCGCCTTGAATAAATCGCTCTATTTTGATACGAGGGACCGTGGCAGGTGTGCTTTCTTCCCGCTCGGCCCCTGGGGCTCAGGACTCCCCAATGAGCAGGCACAGAAGGGACCTCGGGTGCGACCCTCACTCTGAGGTTTCAGTCTGTTCTTGCTTCTATGTCTCTGGATCCATTTGGGTTCCTCAGTTAGATTGCACGGGGGTGGGAGCGGGGGAGGGGTAGGGGGAGGGTGATTTCTGGCCGGCCATTTGGGAAAGTCCAAGTCGGTGACTCCGCCTGTCCCCTGGTGGTTTGCTGGGAGCTCGGTTCCACAGAGGACTTTGCAGAATGGGAAGCCCCAGGGCTACTCCCAGCCCTAGTGGGCATGGCTTCTGTTCCTGCATCGGTGTGCCGCCCTGGGACACGAGGCGGTTGTCCTGGGGACACAGGCTGCATTTTGCCCTGAGTCACAAAGCGGGTCAGAGTGTCATGTTCCTGCACATGCAGCTCGATCCTGCGTGGGAGCCAGGCAGGTGCAGGGCCCTGCCGGCCTTTCTTTTTAATCCAGAGAATATTGTTTTCATTGATCTTTAGAGAGAGAGACTGGCAGACATTGATGTGAAAGGCATCTACCTGCTTCCTCACGCAGGCCTGGGGATCAAACCTGCAATCAAGGTTTATGCCCTTGACAGGGAATCGAACCCATGACCCTTCAGTCCACAGGCTGACTCTAACCACTGAGCGAAACCAGCCAGGGCCCTGCCCTGCTCTGCTCTTTATGGTTCTGAGGAAGGCACATGAGCATTTCTTACATTACTTTCAGCTGAATCCAGTGGCATTGGCAGAACCATGTCCTGGAAACATACCATGCCAGAGGCAGGAGTGTTGTCGGCCTGACCCTTTATTTTTTTTTTTTCAAAAAAGACATTTTATTGATTGTTTTTTTACAGAGAGAAGGGAGAGGGAGAGATAGTTAGAAACAATCAATGAGAGAGAAACATCAACCAGCTGCCTCCTGCACGCCCCCCACTGGGGATGTGCCCGAAACCAAGGTACATGCCCTTGACCGGAATTGAACCTGGGACCTTTCAGTCCATAGGCAGATGCTCTACCCACTGAGCCAAACCAGTTTCGGCTCAGCCTGACCCTTTAGCTCATGTGCCAGGGGTTGGGTTTCATAAGTTCAGCCAGGCGCAAAGAACGGAGGCAATTACCTGGGCTTAGCCAGGAATGACAATTACAACGAAGCCACAAGAATGAACATTTTACAGCTTGATCTTTAACCAGGATTCCACATAATTTCCTTTGTTTTGAACTCTAGTAAAACTTCCTGGAATCATACTTTATAATTAAACACGCTGCACCAGTTCTGGGTCACTGTCCTTCCATCAAAGGGCTAGCTGTCCCAACTGGCTGCAGCCTTTCCCCTCTGTGTCTGTGTCTGTGTCTGTGTCTTTTTATTTATTTATTTGTTTTCATTTTCTCAATCCCCAGCCACCCCTACTCCAGCCTTGCTGGACGCGGTAAAAGAGAAATACATTCTGCAGCAGTGGTTCTCAACCTTCCTAATGCCGCAACGATTTGATACAGTTCCTCATGTTGTGACCCCAAACCATAAGGTTATTTTTGTTGCTACTTCATAACTAATTTTGCTACTGTTGTGAATCGTAATGTAAATATGATATGCAGAATGTCTTAGGTGACCCCTGTGAAAGGGTCATTTCACCCCCAAAGGGGTCACGACCCACAGGATGAGAACTGCTGGCCTAAGGGTATTCAAGACCAAATACAGCCGAAGCCGGTTTGGCTCAGTGGTAGAGCATCGGTCTGCGGACTGAAGGGTCCCAGGTTCGATTCCGGTCAGGGGCATGTACATTGGTTGGGGGCCCATCCCCGGTGGGGGGTGTGCAGGAGGCGGCTGGTCGATGTTTCTCTCTCATCGACGTTTCTGGCTATCTCCCTTCTCTGTAAAAAAATCAATAAAATATATATTTTTTAAAAAAGAACAAATACAACCGGTCTGCAAGCAGAGGCGGTCTCTGAGGCTTTGAATCTTTTCCTGATCCAATTAGAAACAGAGTTTGGCACTGTCCTGCACTAGAGATTCTAATGCATCAGAAACCCAAACAGGCAGCCGAAATGGGAAGACAAAAACAACCCCAAATGAAAGAACAAGATGATTCTCCAGAAGAGAGAAGTGAAATGGAGATAAGACATTTATCTGACCCTAGCCGGATTTGCTTAGTGGATAGAGCATCGGCCTGAGGACTAAAGGGTCCCAGGTTTGATTCCGGTCCAGGGCATGTACCTCAGTTGTGGGCACATCCCCAGTATGGGGTGTGCAGGAGGCAGCTAGCTGATCCATGTTTCTCATCAATGTTTCTAACTCTGTCCCTGTCCCTTCCTCTCTCTAAAGGATCAATAAATTCTATTTTTTAAAAAGAAATGTATCTGCCGAAACCGGTTTGGCTCAATGGATAGAGCGTCGGCCTGGGGACTGAAAGGTCCAGGGTTCGATTCTGGTCAAGGGCATGTATCTTGGTTGTGGGCATATCCCCAGTAGGGGGTGTGCAAGAGGCAGCTCATCGAAGACTCTCTCTCATCGATGTTTCTAACTCTCTTATCTCTCTCCCTTCCTCTCTGTACAAAATCAATAAAATATATTTTAAAAAAAAAAGAAATGTATCTGATATAGAGTTCAGAATAATGATAAAGTCTTCAACAGCATGAACCAAACACTGGATTCCTGATCAAACCTGCCTCTTCTGAGCTCTCTTGTAATGCACAGAGAACATGCAGCCCCACCCCAGGACCAGAGGCTGAATTCCTGAGAGGAGCCGGCTCTTTGGCACCCTCCTGTGGTGAACGAGGGACATGCAGCCCTGTGTGTGCACCAAAGGCTGAATTCCTGATGGGAGCCGTCTCTTCTGCGCCCTCTTGTGGTTCATGAAGAACATGCAGCATAGCCCATCAGCACGCCCTATGCCTCAGCTGCTTCAGCACTTTGCTGCCCTTTTGGCCTCATCAATAACTTGACCCGAGAGCATTTGCTAGAAGTGCTGTTCGGAAGGAACCTAAGCCAGCCCGGGAGGCTGGTTTCAATGACTTTTAGTAACTTTCCCAGGGATGTGGACGTGGCGTTGCACTGCAGCGTGCACAGAAGCTCTGAGCATTTGGTCTGGAACAGCGAAATTTACCTTTTCACCTTGTGGCACATAAAATTCGGCGGCAACCCCCAAAAATACACCTTCTGCCCATCTGACAAAGAGAAGAGCCAGACGTTTGATTCAATGACACCCGAAGGCTATTGTGTTCGCTGTTGTCATTTTTTTAATTTGACAAACTAAGGGCAAGAGGCCGGTGCCTGAGGAAGCAGGGAGGAACTGCGTGTCGTGCATTCTCCCGTGGCGCAGAGGGTGGAAGCCACTGGCCCAGAAGGCAGTCTTCCATCCCGAGGGCACGCACTCCTCCTTTCACAAAGGCCCGGGAGATGCTCTGCCATGGGGATGAGAGTGAGCCTGGGAAATGGGACACCTTGACGAGGAGCTGGGGACACACTTCTGAGGAACGAGGGCTGCAGTCGGAGGATGGGGGGCGGGCCCCTTCCCTGTCACAGGTCTCCCTGGATTTGGGGAACAGCTTCCCCCTCATTCGTCTGGCGGGACCCGCTTGCGATGTGGATTTCGATTGTGCTGGCGTCGGACCCTGGAGAGGAGAGGAGAGGAGAGGAGAGGAGAGGAGAGAAGGCCGAGAGGTGTGGTGTCCTGGGGGGCGTGGCATGAGCTTCAGCAACGTGTCTGCGAACGAGATCCCGATCCCGGTGCTGCGGTTGCCTGGTCGCCGCACTCCGCTCCAGGATGAGCCCAACGAGAGGGAAACCCGCTTCTGTCACACTCACATCCCTCCGAGGGTCCTTCGGGGGGAGGGGGGTGCCGCGTGGTTTGGGGGAGAGCAGTGGGTTATCAATAAAACGAAAGCAAACATCCTGCCCGAGCTGGTGTGGTTCAGTGGATAGAGCATCGGCCTGCAGACTGATGGGTCCCAGGTTGGATTCTGGTCAAGGACACATGCCAGGTTCTGGGCTCAATCCCCAGAAGGGGGCATGCAGGAGGCAGCCGATTCATGTTTCTCTTATTGGTATTTCTCTCTCTCTCCTCCCTCTCTGAACTCAGAAGTGTTTTTAAATGCAGACGAGGAACTACAAACAGTGTGGGCACTGCACATTCCATGTACACCCCGATGGGCGCGAGGGGCGTCACCTTGGTTGCTGATGGCCTTTGGGGGAGCCTGGACCCCGCAGCTCGCCTGCCTCAAAGCAGGGGCTCACCTCCAGACAGCATGCTCAGGGCCTCGTCAGACGTGTGGCCGCCCTCACGTGCCACCTTCCTGGAGGCGGGGCTGCCCCCAGGCACGCAGGGGCCCTGGTGGGCCGGGCAGGCCCGTTCGGCGGCCGAGCTGGTCATGGGTTCCCACTGGATCTCCTTCCGGCGAGACTGGAAGTCCAGGCGGCATCCGGTCCAGCCATAGAAGGCCAGCGACAGGAGGAAGCCCTGGGCGGGATTCAGAATGCCCTGGAGGGGACAGGGAGAGCCGGTGAGCGGGGCAGCCGGTGAGACCCTGGGCGCTGCAGGTGCCCCCTGCTCGCCTCGCCTGGAGTGGCCCAGCGGGTTGATGTCACAGGCTCCTGAGGTCCCGGAGGGCAGGGAACTGGTCCTCACTTCTGTGCGGTACCCACACCAGAGTGAGCCACCGCACCAAGCCACTGCAAGGCACAGCCCGGGGGAGGCGCTGGTCTTGCTTTCAAGTCCTTGCAAATCAGATTTCCTCCAATTTTGAAGCGCCATCAAAATCAATCCTGTGTAGGACACGTGTGTTTTTCCACCGAGAGCTCCTGTTTGCATTTTTTTATTTTTATGGATGGCAGAGCGGAAGGGAGAGAGAGAGAAACATCAATAATAAGAGAATCATGCACCGGCTGCCTCCTGCACGCCCCACACTGGGGATGGAGCCCACAGCCCGGGCCTGCGCCCTGACCAGGAATCCAATTGTGACCTCCTGGTTCCTAGGTTGATGCTCAACCAATGAGCTGGTGCTTTTATCTTTATTATAAACGTCATCAAACGGAAGCGCCAGGGAAAGGGGTGCCCACCATGTGCTTCCACCTGACCATCGTGTGTATTTCCAGCCAATACGTTTTGATGTGTGTTGTTATTAGCTGTGTTTAGTATAACATCTTTTAAAATATATATTTTATTGATTTTTTACAGAGAGGAAGGGAGAGGGATAGAGAGCTAGAAATATCAATGAGAGAGAAACATCCACCAGCTGCCTCCTCCACTGGGGATGTGCCTACAACCAAGGTACATGCCCTTGACCAGAATCGAACCTGGGACCCTTGAGTCCGCAGGCCGATACTCTATCTACTGAGCCACACCGGCCAGGGCTAGTATAACATTTTACGTTTATAATTTTTTTTTTTTAACGATCCTTACCGGAGGATAATTTTCCCATTGATTTCCTAAGAGAGCGGAAGGAAAGAAACATCGACGTGAGAGAGACACTGAGCAAGCCGGTGGGGCTACATTTATAATCTTTTAAAACATATTTTTACATTCATTTAGAGAGAGGAAGAGAGAGAGAGAAACAGGGACGGGCCGCTTCCTGCATGCCCCCCTCCTGGGCATGTGCCCTCAGCGCAAATGGAACGGGCATCTTGAGTCTCACCGGCCGGGCTGGTTTTTATTTGGCAAGAGGAACATGTCAAATCGGGAGTGACCTACCATAATAAACCACGTGGTCTTGGCCGCATTTCTGACATATTTCAGAGCGCCTCCTTCGATGTCCGGTTGCATCTCCAGGTAGAAGAGAAGGCTTTCGTTAATGATGTTGGACAACCAGCTGTGAGAAGACAATGGCCGCCCCTGGTGAGGGCAGCGCCGCAGAGGGCGTGGCTATGCGCTGGGGGCGGGGCGTGTCTCCCAGAGCATATATTTTTTTAAAATATACTTTATTGATTTTTAACAAAGAGGAAGGGAGAGAGATAGAGAGCTAGAAACGTCGATGAAAGAGAAACATCAACCAGCTGCCTCCTGCACACCCCCTACAGGGGATGTACCCGCAACCAAGGTCCATGCCCTTGACCGGAATCGAACCTGGGACCCTTCAGTCCGCAGACCGATGCTCTACCACTGAGCCAAACCGGCTTCGGCCCAGAGCATATTTTCCCCGAGGCCCCAAGCCCAGAGCCAATGTTTCCTCTCCAAAGACCCCCCCCCCCCCTTGGGCCCTGGCTGGGATGGCTCAGTGGCTAGAGAGGCGGCCTGCGGACTAAAGGGTCCAGGATTTGTTCTGGTCAAGAGCATATGCCTGGATTTTGGGCTCCGCCCCAGTAGGGGGAGTGCAGGAGGCAGCTAATCAATGATTCTCATCACTGATGTTTCTCTCTCCCTCTCCCTCTCTGGAATCAAAAACAACACACACACACACACACACACACACACACACACACACACACACGCACACACACACACACTGCTCCCTCTGGACCTCTGGGCCCCTCAGCCAATGGGCCAGGGCTTGCATGTGGCTTCCCGGTGACCGGAATGAGGCGCAGAAGATAGGTTACCAGACGACGACGACCAGCATGATTTTGAAGAAGCGGGTCTTGATCATGGCGCCCATGCGCCTCTCCTTCTCCGAGTACACGCCCTGCCGCCCTTTGAGTAGCGAGGCCACTGCGGAGAGAGGGCGAGCGCCGCTCAGGACAGGCCGGTGACCCTGGAGCGGCCCGTGCTAACAGCTCACACCACTGGCGACCCTGTCCCGGCGTGAGGAAACCGGGCTTTAAAAAAAAACATTTTTTAATTGATTTTTTACACAGATGGGGGGGGAGGGATGCAGTTAGAACCATCGATCAGCTGCCTCCTGCACCCCCCCTCCCCCCACTGGGGATGTGCCTGCAACCAAGGCACGTGCCCTTTATCGGAATTGAACCTGGGACCCTTCAGTCTGCAGGCCGATGCTCTATCCACTGAGCCACACCAATTAGGGCAGTAGAAACCAGATTTTCTTTGGGTTTTACTAGGTCAGGAGCCACGTTTTAAAGATGTACATTCTCTGTGGTAACAATGAGCCCTCGCTGGCTGGCGTGCTCAGTGGATAGAGCGTTGGCCCACGGTCACAGGTTCAATTCCTTGGCCAAGGGCACGTGCCTGGCTTGCAAGTTCCGTTCCAGGCCCTGGTCAGGGGCGTGTGGGAGGCAGCCAGTCAGTGCGTCTCTGCACATCCATGTTCCTCCTTCCCCCCGCTTCCACTCTCTCTGGAGGTCAATGGGAACATCCTCGGGTGAGGATTGAAAAAACACGCTTCAAGTTCTTCACGCCCCGGGTCATTCTGCGGGGAGAGGTTCCCGAGGGGGTGGAGCCGCGCCTCCCGCTGCCCAGGGGAGGGGGAGGGGGGATGGGTATGGGGGTGAGGCCCCAGTCCAGACCCTTCCCAGTGCATCCTGCTGTGCTCTGCCTCCTGCCTCCTGTGGCTGAGCCACCCTCAATCCTCCCCTTTCCCGTGTCCTCCCGCCCTCCTGTTCCCCAGCTGCTCCGGGCGGCCAGCCCCCAGGGGGCGGCCAGGGGAGCCCCAGGGGGGGGGGCGGTGCACGCATGTCCCTATCCCGAGCCCCGTGGGCGCGCCTCACCTGCCGAGAGCGTCTTGCCGAACAGCACCGGGTTGGCCAGCAGCACGAGCAGCAGCGGCAGGTAGGCGCTCACGTAGTGCGGGACGGCGTGCTCCAGGCCCCGCTCACACCTGGGGGAGGGGGAAAGCGGGGGGAGTGGGGGTCTTATCCCTGGAAAGGGCTCAGCTGGGACGGGAAGGCCTGGAGCCCCCACAGTCCCCGGGAAACGGGGAAAATGGGAAGGCTTGGGTGGTGGACGCGCCCCGTCTCTGCTCGTGGGACAGCCCACAGCCCACGGGCCAAGGCCGCGCACCAAGGCGGCCAGCGGACTCAGCTCTCACGGTTCCTGGGAGCCGTCATCCCGTGGCTCTTTTTTTTTTTTAAATATACTTTATTGATTTCTTACAGAGAGGAAGGGAGAGAGATAGAGAGCCAGAAACGTCGATGAGAGAGAAACATCGACCAGCTGCCTTTTGCACACCCCCTACCGGGGATGTGCCCGCCACCAAGGTCCATGCCCCTGACCGGAATCGAACCTGGGACCTTTCAGTCCGCAGGCCGACGCTCTACCGCTGAGCCACACCGGTTTCAGCATCCCGTGGCTCTTTCCAGGGAGAGGGACGGGGTTCCTGTTGGCTGGGGGCCACCCAGGTGTGTTCCCAAGGTGGGAGCTCACCGGGTGAGAGATGGAGAAGGCAGAGGGGGGTGGCAGAGGCGGGGAGAAGGAAAGGCAGAGGGGAGAGGGCTGCTCAGGCCCAAGAAGGAGGGGGGGGGGCAAGTGGGAGGGGCAGGGGGAGGGGAAGAGCTAGTTAGTGGCCACAAAAGGCAAAGGCCCTTGTGTTGGTGGAGCTGGGGGACCGTCAGGTGGGGAGGAGGAGCCGGACGGGGAGGGGCCTCAGCTGGACAGGGACGGGGAGGGGCCTCAGCTGGACAGGGACGGGGAGGGGCCTCAGCTGGACAGGGATGAGAGGGACCTCACCTGGACAGGGATGAGAGGGGCCTCAGCTGGACAGGGACGGGGAGGGGCCTCACCTGGACAGGGACGGGTAGTACAGCATGAGCAGCCCCTCGGCGCAGAGCAGCGCGGCCAGGCCCCAGGCCATGAGGTGGTAGAGCAGGATGATGCTAGGAGAGAGCCGCTGTTAAGATGATGCGCTGTTAAGAGGGCGCCCCGACTTCCGGTCTTGGCTCCTCAGGGCTCCACCTGCCCCCCAGATCCGGACAGCGCTCAGGTCCCAGCCCCCTGGGGTGCGGGGAAGCAGTGCGCCCTCCTAGGACGGTGTTCAAAGGCTCCACTGGTCCAGGTAACTGGCAGCCGGTGGATCTGTGCTTGAGTCACAGCTCTGATCCCCGCACAACTGAGGGCCCCATCAGCCAAGGACATGCGCTGGCACTGGCTTTGGGGACAGGGCTGCTCACACAGCTGCCTGCCACCCGAAGCTTCTTCCTCTGGAACAGCCTGGATGGCACGCAGAGCAGCAGCTGGGCTAACAGCCATATTTCCTTCCTCCCCTGGCGGCAGTGTGACTGGCTACCAGCACATTCTGATTGCTTCTCACACTGAGTGGCCACAAAACGAGTGTTATGAAAGGGGTTGTCCTGTGCAACTCCCAAGGAGGCTGGTTCGAGGGAGGAGCCTTTTGCATTGCTCCCTTTCCCCTTCCTGCTGCCCGGAATGCAGATGTGATGGCTGGAGCTTCAGCAGCTCTATTGGGCCATGAGACATTGAGGATACAAGCCACACAATGGGATTGGGGAGCAGGAAGAAAGGAGCTGGGATCCGTGATGTCCATCATGAGGCCTGGGTTGCTGCCTCAGGCCTCTTTAAGTATGATACAGAGATCCCCATATTGTTTACATCATTATTATTTTATGACTTAACTAGAGGCCCTGTGCAGGGGGCGTGGGGGGGACTCCTCAGCCCAGCCTGCACCCTCTCCAATCCGGGAGCCCCAGTCGGACATCCCTTACACAATCCAGGACCACTGGCTGCTAACTGTTCACCTGTCTGCCTGCCTTATTGCCCCTAACTGCTCCTAACTGCCCCCCCCTGCTGGCCTGGTCACCCCCAATTGCCCCCCCCTGCTGGCCTAGTCACTTCCATCTGACACCCCCCCACTGGCCTGGTTGCCCCTAACTGCCACCCCTGCCAGGCTGATTGCCCTAAACTGCCCCCAACACTGGCCTGGTCACCCCTCACTGACCCCCCATGCCGACCTAGTCACCCCACGCAGCCTGTTCGGTCATCCTTTCGGTTGCAATGGTCGCTGAGGCTCTTCTCTCTATAGATGATGTCATATTATTTAATAATGCGCATAGGGAATAGCAGTGAATTTAGAGCAGTGATCTAAGAGTGTCCGATGTGCTCTACAGCGTGACTGCACCCTTCTTTGGTTACTGAATCGGCTTGAAAAGTGAATTCATTCAACAAATTGCTCAGACAGCTGGATAGCTACACAGAAAAGATAAGGGAGCCTTGCCCTCGCTGCACACAGAATCCACTCAAAATGGGTCAGAGACGGCAGCCAGGCGCGCAAACCATAAACTCTCAGAAGACGACGCAGGGACAGATTTCTGTGGCCCTGCGCGAGGTGACAGTGGAACCACGATAAACAAACAAACAAACAAACAAACTGGACTTCATCAAGATGAAAACCTCTGTGCTCCGAAACATGTCATCAGGTGGAAAGACAAGCCACCGATTAGCGGCAGGTGTTTGTCAGCTATAGGAATAAGAAGGTACTTGTAGCCGAAACCGGTGTGGCTCAGTGGCTAGAGCGTCGGCCTGCGGACTGAAGGGTCCCAGGTTCGATTCCGGTCAAGGACACGCACATCCCCAGTAGGGGGTGTGCAGGAGGCAGCTGATCGATGTTTCTCTTTCATCAATGTTTCTCTCTCATTAATGTTTCTAACTCTCTGTCCCTCTGCCTTCCTCTCTGCAAAAATTAAATAAAAAACCTATTCTAAAAAAAATGGCCAAAGGAATGGAATAGAAAGTTCCCCAAAGAAGGAGTGCCAATGGCCAGTAAGGGCAGAAAATGCTCACCCTCATTAGTCATCCGGGAAATCTAAACCAGTGAGCCTTGGCCAGTCTGGCTCAGTGGATAGAGCATCAACGTGCAGACGGAAGGGTCCCGGGTTCGGTTCCGGTCAAGGGCACATGCCTTCGTTGCAGGCGCCTTCCCAGCCCTCGCCCTGGTCAGGGTGCCTGCAGGAGGCAACCATTCGGTGTGTTTCTCTCACATCGATGTTTCTCTCTGTCTTTATCTCCTTCTTCCACTTCCTAGAGAGAGTGGAAGAGATGATTTTTGTGTAGGCGAGGAAAAGGCACACTTTTATTCTTTTTTATGTTGATAGCCAGTTGTCTGAGCCAGGGTGAGGATTAAACACAAAACAACACACAAGCCAACCCGCAGTGAGATACCACTGCACACACCAGGACGGCTAACACCCAAAACCAGACACACACACACACACACACACACACACACACACACACACACACACAGAAAGCAACGCGTGTCCTTAGCACGGATATGGGGAGAGCAGCTCAGCAGCTCCTCCCGCGGCTAAGCTCTGGGCCTTGTGCCCCGAGCTCCCACCCGGGGTGTGAGGGAAGCGCGCCCTCTTGCGTCCACGTCATGCAGCTCTATTCCTGATCGCCATTCTGAGCGGCTCCCCCTCCCCCCCTGCCCTGTGCCCATCAGTGATAAGCGGATCCCGTGCCCAGGGCCCTGCGGTGGGACGTGACTCAGCAACGAGCAGGCGTGAGCGCTGATAGCTGCTGCCCCCTGGCACCCGTGGACACGTTACGCGAAGCTGAGGAAGCCGAGACAGAGGTTGTGCAGCTGTGAGTCCGTCTGTGGGGAATGTCCAGAGCGGGCTGATCTAGACTCGGAGAGTGGACTGGCAGCGGAGGGGGCCGAGGAAGGGGAATGGACAGTGACTGCGGAAGTCGATCTTTGTTTTATTCACCGAGAGCCGTGGGCAGGGAGTCCCGAGGGCTGGTCAGCCTGAATGCTCTGAAGGGTCCGAGCTAGTCACTAGGCACTGGTGGCGGAAGCAGCCCTCACCGGTTAGTTTGAAGTAAATTCGCTGATTGGCTGTTATTGGTCTCCCGCCTGGGGGACAGGGGTGTATCTCATCATCTTAATCTTAATGGAAGGGATGGCAAGCTGGATGGAGGAGTGGCCTCTCTCGGGCTCCCGCCTGGCCCCCATTTCCCAAATTAACGCTTTTCCAGTCTCTTCATTTGTGTGCGGCCCCTCTAGTACCCGAACCTGAGTCGGAACCCTGAACCACGCGGGACGTGAAAGGGGCTACAAGTGACTACTAACCGGCACAGACATTGGGGGGGGGGGGTGAAAGTGCCATAAACTAGATGATGGCGATGGAGGCACAATCTCCGGAATTCGCTAAAGACAGTGGGTCTTTGTTGTTAATCCTCACCCGAGGGTATTTTCAGAGAGAGTGGAAGGGAGGGGGGAGACAGAGAGAGACACGGATGTGAGAGACACAGCCACGGGTGCACTCACACTCCCGCCCACCGGGCCTGGGGTCGGGCTCAAAGGGGAGGGCCTGTCCCTGTGAGGCCAGGTGTCTGTCTGGCCACAAGGCCTGCTAGATGGCCGCACACCTCTCCGGGGACCAGGGCACCGGAGCGGCCCCCTCCTCCGCCTACCTCAGCCCCGATGACCTCCGGATCACCAGGTAGGCGTCCACCGCGTAGCAGAACAGCCACCAGAAGCAGGTGCTGTAGAACAGCTGGATCCATACCTGCAGGCAGGGCGGCGGCCATCAGGGCCCCTGGGCCCCGGCGCCAGGCTGCCCCCGGCCGAGCTGAGCCTCCATGCCCTCTGATGCCAGGAGGCGCCAGGACAGCCTGGGACACACGGGGCAGGCCTGGCAACCAGGGCGGGTGTGGCGGGACAGGTGCGCGCCTCTGTCTGTTCAGCGCCTGCACCGAGCCCTGCCTCCAGGCATGGGTACCCGCAGAGCCAGGGCTCAGCCGTGGGCGTGCACTGCCCGAGGGCTCACAGGGTCTGGGGGCCAGAGAACGAAGGGGTGCGGGCAGGAAAGGAGAGGCCTTCTCATGGGAGGGGAAGGGGGGCTGTTGTGTGAGAAGCTGGAGCGGATGTTCCAGGGATGCAGTGGGGATCCAGTGGGAATGCAGTGAGGATGCAGTGGGGATGCTCCGGGGATGCAATGGGCAGCTGTGAGGGGGCGGGCTGACAGTTCTCTACAGATGGCGGGTCCAGGCAGCCTCCGTGGGCCGAGAGCGCTCACTGGGCGTTAACGTGGCAGACCACGTGTATTTAAATATATGTTTCACTAGGCAAAATGCAGCAGTAGCTTTCTTTTCTTCCTCCTCCTCCTCTCTCTCTCCTCTCTCTCTCTCTCCCCCTCCCTCCCTTCCTCCCTCCTTCTCCCCCCCTCCTTTCAGCCAGCTGGTTCTGACTGCAGCCTGAACTGAGGCTTGCAGGACTGTGCGTGCATGTGCTGAGGGTGAGGGAGGGAGAGGCCACCCTAAAATCACAGGGGCCTGCACCCCAGGGCCCCTGGTCATCAGCTCCGGGGAGGGAGCTGGGTCTGAGGGGGGGGGTAGGGAGAGTGGGGGGAGAGGGTCTTTGAGGACCAGGGCACATCAGGCGCTCAGCGAGGCGGACAGAGGGGGCGCACTCACCGCACTCCCCACGCAGAAGGCGGCAGGCCAGATGGCTGTCCCATTCCCCGCAGACAGGTTCTGGACGAAGTCAGGGAGTCCCAGCCACACCGCCGCGCGGACCACGATACCTAGCGGGAATGGAGGGAGAGTGAGCCTCCTTTACCCTTACGGTCCTGATGCGGACTTAAAGCTGAGCTGTTGCTCTGTGAGGAATGGATGGATGGACAGATGGATGGACGGACGGACGATTCTCAGACGGACAGAAAGGGAGAGAGAAAGAAGGGGGAGGAAGAGGGGGGAGTAACACACACGTCGGTCTGAACACAGAAAGTAACTGCGATGGGGCAAAGCCATGGACTGACTAACAAACCTCCATCAGCCATGCGCGCCTTCCTGTAGTGTGTTTGCGTGGAGTTAAGAAGTGACTACGAAAATAGCAGATCAGTTCCTTCTCGGCTATATACCATATATATGTTAAAATATATTTTCATTGATTTCAGAGAGGAAGGGAGAGGGAGAGGGAGAGTAACATCCATGATGAGAGAGGATCATGGATCCGCTGCCTCCTGCACAATCCCTACTGGGGATGGAGCCTGCAACCCCGGGCCTGTGCCCTGACCGGAATCGAACCGGGACCCTTCAGTCCGCAGGCTGTCTATCCACTGAACCACACTATCTTGGGCTTGGCTATAGTTTTAATGTCCGTGTTGCCTCGTATTCATACAGAAAGGGGTGTTAGAAAGAGCACACGGCTGAAGTTCAGGAAGAAACTTGCTGCATCCTCTTACAGTAAGGTGACCAGATGTCCCGCTTTTGGCGGGACAGTCCCTATTTTTAACAATTTGTCCCGCGTCCCGCTGCGTTTTTAAAAAAGTCTCGGGATGCGGGACAAATTGTTAAAAATCGGAACTGTCCTGGCAAAAGCAGGACAGTCTGGTCACCTTATCTTACAACCACACGGAAGAATTTCACAAATCCGCTATGGACCACTTCCTTCCACACTCATTACACGTGAGTTTTTATTCCCATTAGTCACAGACACGGAATCCTCACACACACTACACAAGCTGCAAGCTTGTTCCTCGGTACCCCCCACCCCCTGCCCTGGCCGGGCTCCATCGAGCTGAGTGCCACCCTGGCCGTAACCCTGCACAACCTGCAAAGACCCGGTTGTACGTGTATGTGTTTATCTATCTATCTATCTATCTATATGCAACAAATGTCTCTTGGACATAACTTTTATTGTTGTTACTCCTCACCCAAGGATATTTTCGCATTGATTTTTAGAGAGAGTGGGAGAGAGACAGAGAGACAGAGACAGACACAGAGAGAGAAACATCAGCGTGAGAGACACATATTGATTGGTTGCCTCCTGTAAGTTCCTGCTGCACCGAGGTACGTGTCTTGACCGAAACCGGACCCGGGACCCTTCAATCCTCAGGCAACACTGTCCATTGAGCCACGCTGGCTAAGGCCGTTGGCTGTAACTCGTGGGGACTGTCTCATTTTGCGGATCCTCTAGTCCTGTCCTCCCCAGGAAACGGTTCTCCCTTCTGTGCTCCTGAGCACGCAGATGCCCTGCCCCATGCAGGCCGCTCGCCCTCTCCCAGTTACCCACCAGGTCCCACCCGCGCCCTCTCCCAGTTACCCACCAGGTCCCACCCGCTCCCTCTCCCAGTTACCCACCAGGTCCCACCCGCTCCCTCTCCCAGTTACCAACCAGATCCCCCAGCGCCCTCTCCCAGTTACCCACCTGCGCCCTCTCCCAGTTACCAACCGGATCTGCCCGTTAACTCACCCAGTTACCATCCAGATCCACCCGCTCCCTCTCCCAGTTACCAACCAGATCCCCCAGCGCCCTCTCCCAGTTACCCACCAGGTCCCACCCGCGCCCTCTCCCAGTTACCCACCCGCTCCCTCTCCCAGTTACCCACCAGACCCACCCACTCCCTCTCCCAGTTACCCACCAGGTCCCACCCACTCCCTCTCCCAGTTACCCACCAAACCCACCCACTCCCTCTCCCAGTTACCCACCAGACCCACCCGCGGGCCGCGTCCTAACTGCGCCCCAGCCGGGCCACCCAGGCCGCCCCTTACCCAGGCAGCCGAGCACGTCGCAGGCCAGGGCGGCGCGCAGGATTCGGGTGGAGGCGGGGGCGCGGGCCGGCGCCGGCGGGGCCGGGGGGGACGGGGCGGGGGCCGCGGGCCGGCGCCGGGGCAGCAGCTGCAGGAGGCCGAGCGCCAGGCGGAGCGCGCCGCTGCCCAGGCACAGGGCGGCGAAGGCGCGCGGCTGGAAGCCCAGCACGAGCTGCGTGGCGGCGTCCCGCGTGGGGCAGCAGAAGGTCCCGAGGCGCGGGGAGGCCATGTCGTGCCGTAGCCGCGGCCCAGGTCTGCCAGGACCCGCGGGCCGCCTGGGTCATGTGCGCGGCCCGGCCTGGCGGGGGCATCATGTGCTCTGGGCTCCCCCCTCCGTCCCCCTCCCCACGCTGGGCTTTGCAGAAAAGGCGCGGAGGGGGTTGGCGGGTGGGGGCTGTGCGCCCTGTGCGAGGCCACGAGGCCTCACGAGGGCGATGCTTGATCCTGAGGGGGTGGGGGAGGGGCGCTAGGAGTCGGAGGTCAGCCTTCTCCCCTCACCGAGCCTCCAAGGGGCGGGATTCTGCAAACTCCCTCCCCTCTCGCTGATCCTCCAAAATGCTGCCTGGTGAGTCCGGTCTCTCCCGCGGGCGCTGACGTTTCTGATCAGAAGGCTCCAGGCACCAGGAACGGACCAACGTGGGCTGTTGGAAAGCAGTGCTCTCATCGCTGCACCCCCCCCCCCAAGGCCACAGGCCACAGAGGCCGCGCCTGCGTTTCAAATCAACAAATGAGCCGGGACCGGTTTGGCTCAATGGATAGAGCGTCGGCTTGGGGACTGAAGGGTCCGGGGTTCGATTCCGGTCACGAGCATGTACCTTGGTTGCATATCCATGTAGGGGGTGTGCAAGAGGCAGCTGATCGATGATTCTCTCTCATCGATGTTTCTAACTCTCTATCTCTCTCCCTTCCTCTCTGTATAAAAATCAATAAAATATATTTAAAAATAAATAAAAATAAATAAAATCAACAAATGAGCCTTAAAGAAAGGGACACTGGGCCTACTCCCCCCCCCACACACATACACACACACACACACACACACACACACACGCGCGCGCGCGCTCCCTATCAAATCTGTTCCATTCGTTACTCAGCGGTGTAGGTTCGCTTTTGATTGACATTTGAAAGGAACTTTTAAGAGCAATTCTGTTTAGAAAAGAACGTTATTCAAGCGCATCCAGGTTTTCCTAGCTGCTGTGATTGTCTGCATGGGTCACTATACATTAAAAATCATGCTTGATTCCAGACACATAAAAGTTTCAAAATTACATCAGTACGGGTCCTAAGCATACTGGACTGAAGCTTAAAAGCTCTTTGTGGTTGAAAATGAAACAGCCGCTCCCAGGTTATGGCTCTACTAACCCAAGCTTTGTTTACAAACAAAACCCCGCCCTGACCCGTGTGGCTCAGTGGATAGAGCGTCAGCCTGCGGTCTGAAGGGTCCCGAGTTCGATTCCGCTCAAGGACATGGACCTTGGTTGAGGGTACATCCCCAGTGGGGGGTGTGCAGGAGGCAGCTGATGGATGTTTCTCTCTCATTTTTTAACTCTCTATAAAAAAAATCAATAAAATATATATTTTTAAAATAAATAAAAACAAAACCCAGCCCAGCCGGTGAGGCTCAGTGGTTGAGCATCCACCTACGAACCAGGAGGTCAGGGTTCCATTCCTGGTCCGGGTTGCGTGTTCCATCCCCCGTAGGGGGCGTGCAGGAAGCAGCTGATCAGTGTTTCTCTCACATCGCTCTCTCTTTCTCCCCCTCTCCCTTCCTCTCTGTGAAATCAATAAAAACAAAGCAGCAGCGGCCCTATTGCTTTCTCACCATCAATAAACCGGTAGGTCTACTGGGCCCACTGGCCGCCCCGAAGCGGACACCTTTGCCCTCTCCCCCAGTTAGTGGCGGATCTCCGGGTCTCTCCCCATCGCTTAACGGCAAGGTGCAAACTGCAAAGCTGGGGTGCCCCCCACCCCGCAGTGCCACCCCGGCTGTGCAGTTTGAGGTGCTGAGGCAGAGTCTGGGTTCGGCGCCTGCGCCTTCATCCCGGGGCCAGGCGGCGCGCTGCCAGCCGGGAAGCAGCCCGAACAAAGGCGCCGCTTCAAAGGCTGCCGCCCGGCGGGAGCACAGCTGCTCCGAGGCGGGCCCGCCCGGCGGTGGCAGGGCCCCGCCTCCGCCCGGGACACGCGTGCGCGCAGAGCGTGGGAAAGCCCGGACCTGCCCCCAGCGCCCGCGCCAGCAGACGGAGCCTCTGGGTGTCGCCCTAACACCAGGGATGGGGTGGCCGATCTTGCAAAGGCGTCCCTGCCCTGCGTCGCTGCCCCTGCTCTGTGCCCGAGCTGCACCCTCTGCCTCCCGGAGCACGCCGCGTGCCCTGCACGACTGTGGTGCCCCGTGCTCAAGGGAGCGGATGCCAGGGCGTCCCTGGGCAGGATCACCTCGGGAGGTAACTCACCAATGGGCAGGAGCAGCTAGGGCAGCGGTCGGCAAACTGTGGCTCTTTGGCCCCTTGAGTTTTTAGTGAAGGCCAGCTTCGGAGGACCCTGATTAAGTTAATAACAACATACCTACCTATATAGTTTAAGTTAAAAAATGTGGCTCTCCAAAGAAAGTTCAATCGTTGTCCTGTTGGTATTTGGCTCTGCGGACCAATGAGTTTGCCGACCACTGAGCTAGGGGCCTCTGCTACGGAAGGGCCTTGGAGCCAACCTGTCCAAGGAGGGATAGTAGATTGATTTTTTTTGTTGTTGTTGAAGAGGCATGCTTTATTTTTTAAATGTATTTTTATTGATTTCAGAGAGGGAGGGAGAGGGAGAGGGAAGTAGAAACGTCAATGAGGAGAGAGAATCATGGATCGGCTGCCTCCTGCACGCCCCCCACTGGGGATGGAGCCAGCAACCCAGAATGGAACCTGGGACCCTTCAGTTCCCAGGCCGACGCTCTATCCACTGAGCTACACCAGCTAGGGCCAGACTACATTTCTTAACTGTCCAACAATTAAGAGGCAACTTGAGACTAGCCTGGAAAATAAAACTATGACAGAAACATGTGTGTGAGAGTGCAATAATACGCAGGAAGATGAACAGGTGAAGCGCACAGGCATGCACAGGTGGACACATCTGGAAGTGCAACACATGTCAGCACTACAAGATGACATGTGGGCCCAGCCAGTGTGGCTCAGTGGTTAAGCATCAACCTATGAACCAGGAGGTCACAGCTCAATTCCCGGTCAGGGCACACGCCCCGGTTGTGGGCTCCATCCCCAGTAGGGGGCGTGCAGGAGGCAGCCGATCCACGATTCTCTCTCATCATGGATGTTTTTCTTTCTCTGTCCCCCTGTCCCTTCTTCTCTGACATCAATAAAGAGATATAACTTTTTAAAAATAGATGCTGACAAATGGCTCAGCATCCGCTTGAGCCAGAGAGCATGCTGAATGCAGATGCCCGGTCAGGGGTGCAGGCGCGGGGCTGGCGGCGGTGAGTAACATCCTTCTGGTTGGGGAAGCCCCGGGGCCAGCGCTGTCGGGACCCACTTGGGACTCAGTCAGGATGCTGGACGGAAAAGGAAGCACATGGAAGAGGAAGAGGCCAGATAAGGACCACGGAGACAAACAAAGCGGCCTGCAGCGCTGAGAAAGAAAGCACTTCCGGACAATGTTCTGGAAGAAGCTGCAGGAAGGCTCCCGGGCTGGAGATGAGAGGAGAGCAATGCCCCCTCGGGCTCTTGGCCCGGGGAGCAGTTCCGCGCCTCCGATGGGCCCACCCGACAGTCACCCCACCTCGTTGCACGCCATTTCCAACGCCTTCTCCCTAACAGCCAACTGGCCAGTCGCTGAGTAAATAATCCTCAAACGGAAGGCGAACCGGGGTGTGCCGGACAGGGATTCGGTATTTTGTGTTTTTTTTTAATTTTAAAAATTTTTTTATTGATTGCAGAGGAAGGGAGAGAGAGAGAGAGAGAGAGAGAGAGAGAGAGAGAGAGAGAGAGAGAGAAACATCAATGAGGAGAGAGTCATTGATCAGCTGCCTCCTGCACACCCCAGACTGGGGATGGAGCCTGCAACCCGGGCCTGTGCCCTTGACTGGAATCAAACCTAGGACTCTTCAGTTCGCAGGCCAGCCAACGCTCTGTCCACTGAGCCACACCAGCTAGGGCCAAATTTTTTTTTTTAAAGGAGAGAGAACTAGTGCCCGAGAGTATTACCTCAGCTACACTGAGTCACCGCTGCCTGAGAGGGCAGGAAGAAGACCGGGCGGGAAGGAGAGGGTGGTGCTTGCGCTCGGAGAAGAGGAAGAAAATGGAACTCTGACCTCTGGGAGCTGGAGGCACCGGGTGCTTCCTGTCTGGCTGAAATCTCGCCTCCACCCTGTGGCTCATCTTCATCTCCGGTTGGTGTGTGAGGCCTGGGAAGAGGCGAGGAGACACGTCCAAGGTCACAGAGGTGGAAGCCCAGGCCCGTTGCGCCGGAAGCACTTCCTCCAGAGGGCACCTTGCAAGTCTACAAACCCGCCAGGCCCAGGCGGCGCCTTGTCGCCCGTCCTCTTGAGGCGACCAGGGGTCCGCTTCGGAGACGCTGGGGGCAGGTCGCAGGGGTCCGCAGCTGATGCCGTGTGATCTACTGTACTTCAGGAAGGGGATTTACATGTTATACACACGGGGTGGCCAGATTGTTATGCCCACCCGACGTTTGTAGGCAAATTAGCCATACGCTGCATCGTATGGGATGTCTGCAGTCACCAAGATAAAACGTCTCCAGTTCGCACAGGAACGCAGGATTGGACAATCGAGCATTGGAAAGAAGTCACCCAGAATGGACCATAGTTGCAGCATGCAGATGGCAGAGTGAGAAGTTGGCGGAAACAGCATGAAAGCATGCCCCCCACATGCCTGAGTACAACCCTTCAAGCTGGTGGGAGCAGTGTTACGGTTGGGGGCATGTTCTCCTGGCATGATCTGTGCCCTTTAACGCGTGTGGAACAATGTCTGAATAGCACAACATACCTAAGTATCATTGCTGATCAAGTTCATCCTGTCATGTCGATGGCATATCCCAATGGAGATGGCTTCTTCCAACAAGACGATGCGCCATGCCGCGGTGCTCCTATTGGGCAGGAGTGGTTTCCAGAACACGAGGGAGACTTTCCCATGCTTAGGTGGCCCCACAATCACCAGATCGCCATCCAACTGAGAATCTGTGGGACGGAGTTCAAAGAGCCATCAGGCAGCTGGTTCC